GGAAGTGCGATCCAACACATTTATTGATCTTGTTTATTGGTAAAATATTATTTGTTTTAAAGTTCAATAAATGGTCAATGAATAATCGTCAAAAATAATCGTGATATCAATTATTGACCCAAATAATCGTGATTATGATTTTTGCCATAATCGCACAGCCCTACGTCAGCGGCTTCATTTGGTGGCGCCAGATATCAGAGAACACAGACTGAAATACAGGACCAACTGAACCCCTTCATTTTTGTTTCAGAATCTCAAGTCAAAGGGACAGCTTTTGCATTCATGCAGATTTCAAGAATATTGTTTTTAATATTGCTGTGTCTAAACGTGTTTTCTGAAGATAAAATCCAGCTTGAATAAAGCGGTTGAAACTCTGACCCTGTTCCAATACAAACTCTGCCTCTATCAACAGTCAACCTTGTGCTCTCTGATCACGCAAAGTGGAGGGAAATGCAAATAGCCTACTGTGAGAAAGCCTCTCCATTCTCCAATCTGTCGACCGTGGATTCGTTACATCATTTCTCGTGAGAGAAACATTATAGTATAAGTGGCATGTCTTTTTTTTATAAACCTCTTCTCATATTTTTAAATCTGAATTAAAAAAGCTATTTGTGCTCATGATATAAAAATAAGAGGCGATGTTTGCTTACCCTGCAGCGATACAAAACACACGTTGGTTCCTGCTTTTATATCAAGAGCAGATGGTTCTACAATAAAACTGTTTTTAGATACACTGGTAAATACAATTAAAATAATATGTAACCTTTAAGTTTCTTACATTTGTATGAATATTTGTAATGTCCATATTATTCTTCAAACTGTAAACTGTTTAATAGACAATTAAAACAGTCATATGAGAATACCCTGAAAATGAAGTAGTATTTTGATGTGCATTCCTTATGATCACATATACCGGTGTCTGCGACGTGTTTATTCGTTGTGTGCACTTTGTTCACAGAAACTGCAGCAAAGCAGTCTTTTGGGGAAGCTGGTCAAATGTCACAACGTTAGGACAGTTCCTGTTTCTTGCAGAGATAGAGAAAAACGTGTCCATGCTTTTATCTTCAGTAGACTCGACTACTGCAATAGTGTCTTCACAGGGCTCACTAACAAATCTATCAGAAAGCTGCAGCTGATTCAGAACGCTGCTGCTCGAGTGCTCACTGACACTAGAAAAGTGGATCACATCAGTCCGGTTCATTACTCCGGCTTCCAGTCTGCCAAAGAACTGATTTTAAAATACTACTGCTAGTTTTTAAATCACTAAATGGCTTAGGACCGACGTATATAGACGGCCTCCTCCATCAAAGCATCCAGGAGTCTCAGGTCTGCTCTCTGTTCCGAGAATAACCACTAAACATGAAAAAGCAGCTTTTAGTTATTATGCCCCAACAATCTGGAACAAACTGCCCAAATCGTGCACGTCCGCCGAAACACTTCCTATTTTTAATACCGACTAAAAACGTCTATTTGCCGCTGCTTTTAATTGAGCTGCCCATACTCACACTACAGTATGCCTTTTAGTCATGTATTCTCTACCTGCTGTGTTTATTTATTTATTGTATTTAATTACCTTTGCTTATTATGCCTGCTTTTAAATGCCTTTTTAATCATGTATTTATGCTGTATTTGTTCTTAAATGTCTTTTGCTTTTAATCTGTAAAGCACTTTGAATCGCCACGTGCTGAAAAGTGCTCTACAAATCAAATTGCCTTGCCTAAAAGAGGTTCATCTCAACAGGAGAGCAACAGAAAGCAGCAGTAAGATATATTTCTTTAAAAAAGTAGAAGCATGTGTTCTTACCTTTACATAGTTGAGACTGCAGAGACCTCAGTGCTGACAGTTCTGTGTTCTGGTTTTCATGTCTGAATATGTCCGATTACAACAGGAGTAGTTCACAGGGCTCTGGTTCACAGCTAGAGACAGAGGGGGCGTTTCCACTGGGATCAACGGCAGATCGGTGAGCAGTAGCCAATGAACGTCCTGATGTGAACCCTGTGAGTACTGTATCTTCGGATCATTTGGTTTTCCTTATTAACCTTGTCTGTGGGACCCGTTTTCATTATTTAGCTAAAGATATAATAATAATTTGTTCAAACCCACACTCAATGGCCTTGGCTCATTTTCTGTGAAGAACATATATCAGAACACCTTGTTTTCAATGACCACCCACTGTACCCCCCCCCCCCCCCCCCCCCCCCCCCCCCCCCCCCCCCCAACAAGGTGTTCGGGTCGAACAAAAGTGTGGAAATTGTGTGTGTGTGTGTGTGTGTGTGTGTGTGTGTGTGTGTGTGGTGTGTGTGTGTGTGTGTGTGTGTGTGTGTGTGTGTGTGTGTGTGTGTGTGTGTGTGTGCAGTGGTGTAGTGGGCGTTGGACGCGGGGGTACGCCGTACCCCCACTTATTTGGAGCATGATCTTTTTTTAAATAATCTAATAAATATAAATCATTGCCAGTGTTATCAGTTGCAAGAGTGTATTTGTTGTAATAATGACAAAAACATAATACATTTCACAGTAATTATAATACAAAATAAAAACGATTTCCTTAAATAATTATGATTCGTCATCACGCTCGTGACCCTGCGAAGAGCTGGGGGTGTGTCAGTGGGTGTGTCAGTGACACACCCACTGACACACCCACTGGAGGGAGCCAGCTCTTTCCCTCAAGAACGCTAACGAAAAAGCTCTATAATGGCAGGCAAACATTTTTTACTTGACTTCTTTCCTAAAAAGAATATAATTCACAAGAAGAAAGAGGCTAGCAGCACCGAAGCTACAAGTGAAGCTGCTACTAGCACTACATCATCAAGAGCCGCCTAAAGACGTGGATAATGCTAGCACTAACGTTAACGTTAGCTGCGCTAGCAACGTTCCCCTGGCTAGCTCAAGCTCACCTTTCCCAGACGTATGGACGGAGGAAACAAGAGGCATGCCCGTGGATAGACTGCAAAGCTGGGAAACAGGGCTGCAAAGTTGGTTCATTTCAGATTTATCAGTCTTCAAAACACAAGGTGTGTGTGTGTGTGAAATGCAGCGCTGTCTGCTTATTTGCAATGTAGGCTAGGCCTAATCAGATTAATTTCAAGTCCAGATTCATTGTTGTTTGCATAAGTAGGCTATATTTTTCGTTTAGTTTATTTAATAAGTTAATTTCAGGACAACTTTGGGAATTTTGTTTGTTATGAGTTTTAAATAGATAGAGAGAGAGAGGTCTGCTTAGTTGCAATACTGTAGTTTATGCAACTCAGCCGCCTATACATTGTTTATGTAATTTATGTGCCAGTGTGTCCATGGTTTTGAGTCTGTGTGTGTTGAGCGCAGTGCCGTCTGCTAACTAAAGTGGGACTAAGCATACCGGTAGTTTCTGTGGGCCTGTCTGCCCGTTTTGTGAGTGCACTGCGCACGTGCGCACTTGTGTGGCATTGTTTGGGATGACCTAATTAAAATAGTGTCACCCCAGTAAAGAAATCCCCACTACGCCTGCCTGCCTGCCTGCCTGCCTGCCTGCCTGCCTGCCTGCCTGCCTGCCTGCCTGCCTGCCTGCCTGCCTGCCTGCCTGCCTGCCTGCCTGCCTGCCTGCCTCTCCTGCACAAGGTTGCAACACTATTGATAAATACAAGCACGGACACCTGTCTGGGGGGTGTACTACGAAGCAGGATTTTCGCTTAGCGGCTAACTTCAGGGAAAACTCGGGCTTTCCGGTCCTACGAAGCTGGTTCTCTTTTTAGCGGGCTAGATCTCCATGGTAACTTATCCTGGAACATAGTCTGTGCTCCAATGCAGGATAGGTTCCAGGATAAGAGATCAACTCAGCGAAAGCACCACGCCTGCTGACCAATCAGAGCTCAGTGTGCGGAGGAAATACAGTTTAAACTGCCGTTGCAGGAAAGACAGCCGGCCAAAATCACCGACTGTGTGAACGTGAAAATGAATAGAACATCAACTCCCATCTTCAGAGCAATCAGACTATTATAACTATTATACTATTATGTTAAGAAAGCTTAATTAAATATCTGCCACAACATAAGTAACCGGATCAAAGTAACATTACGTAGCCTACAATCCGCAGCACTGTGAGTGCAGACTTCGATGTGTCCCATTATCATTCACATCATATCACTTAATAATGTATCATATATCTCCTGATCTGAGTCAGCTGAGCCGTATCTGGCCGTGCAACACTCAGTGTCACATACTGTATGCAGAAGTATTATTTTAAGCAACACATTAAGTTGACGAAACACTCGAGTCAAATGTAATTAAAGTCAGATCGTGTCTTAGACGGGGCAGTGATATCATAAAGCTGTTAATGTACGCATTCAAACACTTGTTCTGTTCTCAGCTGTATTCACCTTGCAGGTGCAGCTCTGTGGCTTTGATCCTGGATCAAGTGTTTAAGTCATGGATGTTTAAACTTTAACTTCTTCATATGTCTAATATTATAGTTGACTTTTCATTCAGGAAGTATGACGCTGCGCTGTCAGTACGCTTCTCCATGTTTGTGATTGGTCGAATGCTCCTGATACCACCCCTTTCATGTGAACGCGCACCTAACTAGATAGGACACGGCTGGCTTGAGCGATCCACTTGATAACCAGCGTCGTAGTACAGTTTAGCGAGAGCGCGTATGTTTTGGATTAGGCCAACCGGCTAACTCCAACATATCCAGGTTAGCTTGAACCAGCTTCGTAGTATACCCCCCAGGTTAGCCGCACGGCATAAGTTACCATGGAGATCTAGCCTGCTAAAAAGAGAACCAGCTTCGTAGGACCGGAAACCCTGAGTTTTCCCTGAAGTTAGTCGCTAAGCGAAAATCCTGCTTCGTATACCCCTCAGACTTCACAGCATGTTTTGAAATGGAAGCTGCGTTGGTGTTTGTGTGTTGGTTGTTGACGGCAGTGTGTGCCCCCCGTGGTAAATGATTGCCCCCCATTCGATTTGTTCTAGAGCCTGATACATTAATGTAGTGGAGTAAAAGTATAACAATACTCACATTTCTTACTTAGGTACAGAACTTGAGTATATGTTCTAAGTTACATTACACCACTCTGTATATTTAAAAGATTTATTTTTAAATGTACAAAACAACATGGCTTTCAAACATCTCACAATAAACAAATAGGCATTCAGAATGAAAACAACAGCAGGTCCAATAAAATAAAGCTTATTAAAAACAACATTATTTTGTCTCATTCTTCTACAACTACACATATGTACAATGCAAAACATGTCAGTGTCTAACTTCAATACAAAGTGCAAAAAAACAGAACTCATATTTCATCAGGACTGAAGTAACGTAACGGAGACCGAGAGCAACTCCGATAGGAAAGATTACAGTAAACGATAAATATTAAATACAATTACAAATGCTGTTCATAGATTCTAGACCTCACAGCGACAGCGTTATAAAACATCGATATGTAGGCTGAGGCTGAACAATCCAACGAAACTGCAATATGGACCAAATGACAGGAGGTGCAACATGTGTCAGAATGCAGCAGAGATTCCAGCCTATAAATAAATCACATTAGAAAGAATTTTGATTGGTACAGATTCTCTCAGAAATCACATTTGATCATTTGAGTTGATCTCTCAACGAAAGAGCGATAAGATGTACAGTATACCTGAAGTAAAGTGTCAGAGCGCTGCAGATCTAAAGAGTCAGTATTGTGCAGGAGTGTGCAAATGTCTTTAGATGAGCATTAAAGTAACAGATAGTGTCAAACTGTTTCTGTTGATCCACCTGCTGAACTGTTACCTGCCCCTGAGTCTGAACCTTCTTCACTGGCTGCTTGTCGTCTGAAGTTAAGAAGCACACAGACACACAGAGCAAGTAGAACAGAAACCAGTGCAATCTCAAAGTAGAGGCCAATCCTTCCCCGTCTTCCTGTGTTGGGAGTCTCAGGTTTGTTTCTTCCTGTGTTGGGAGTCTCAGGTTTGTTTCTTCCTGTGTTGGGAGTCTCAGGTTTGTTTCTTCCTGTGTTGGGAGTCTCAGGTTTGTTTCTTCCTGTGTTGGGAGTCTCAGGTTTGTTTCTTCCTGTGTTGGGAGTCTCAGGTTTGTTTCTTCCTGTGTTGGGAGTCTCAGGTTTGTTTCTTCCTGTGTTGGGAGTCTCAGGTTTGTTTCTTCCTGTGTTGGGAGTCTCAGGTTTGTTTCTTCCTGTGTTGGGAGTCTCAGGTTTGTTTCTTCCTGTGTTGGGAGTCTCAGGTTTGTTTCTTCCTGTGTTGGGAGTCTCAGGTTTGTTTCTTCCTGTGTTGGGAGTCTCAGGTTTGTTTCTTCCTGTGTTGGGAGTCTCAGGTTTGTTTCTTCCTGTGTTGGGAGTCTCAGGTTTGTTCCAATGTGTCGCTGCTGTCAAAACACCAAACAACTCTGTGTCAAAAACATTTCCCCGAAAAAGAAAACTAAAGATCTTCAACATTTCTCAGGTTCTCGAACACCCTGAGAGTTTAACATTATTAAAGATGAATGGCGGTTACTCACCAGTGACGTTGAGCCAACTTCTCCTAGAGTTACTCCCATCAGGTATGACAAGTATCTCACACACATAAAACCCAGAGTCACTGGTCCTGAGTCTGGAGACATGAAGTGTGAGGCGTCCTTCTGTGAGGACAAGGGGCGGATCTAGTAAAATATTCATGGGGTGGCAAGAGGGTGGCAGGACAGTTTGAGGGGTGACATCCCCTGGCAGAAGTAGGCTATATGCTGATTTAATCACATTTATATCAATCAATGTTAACTTCGAAAGCCACAATATTGGTATTTTAACTCAATAACATCAGTATACATTATTGTGGCCAACCCGGTATCACAGCAAGACGTGAACATGTGACGATTTACCATGCTGGGAGACGTGAAGAAGTCATGATTTCGTCCTTTCAAACGTGACAGTTACACGGTATTGTTAACATGGCCAAACCAGTGGAGAAATACCCGGTAATGCCAAGCAAATGCTCCCCGACGGTCGGTTGTTATTGTCAATATTAATATAATAATGATTTATTTTTTAATAGTCACACTTGATTTAGCTGATTTTCTTGTTGCCCCAGCTGGTCGACACCTCTTTGAGCAGAAACAAAGGCTACATTAATGTATTAAATCGATGTTAACCCATGCGTGTAGATGTGGAATTAACGGACGTGACGTTGTGCGATTGCGTTGCCAGGCAACAGCTTCGGTTCCGGGTATTTCTCCACTGGTTAACAATACTGTGAAACTGTCACGTTTGAAGGGACGAAGTCGTGACATCTTCACGTTTCCCAGCATGGTAAATGGTCACATGTTCACGTCTTGCCGTGATACCGGGTTGAACCAGAGACACAGGAGGTGAGGAAGAGGAGCAGCAGGAGGATGAAGATCATATTCTCCCTGTGAGAGGACAGGCACACACACACACACACACACAAACAAAAACACACAAACACACATAACACACACACAAAACACACAAAACACACACACACACACCCAAACACACGCATCAGAGATCAAACATTGGAAAATATACAGACTGTCTTTAGTCATCACATTACTTATTACTCAGAGTAACCAGAGGACAGTAATCTTCTGACACTAGGTGGCGCCAGATATGAACATTATATTTTCTCTGAACTGAATCAGGAGATACTTTCACTTGTACAGTCAGTAAACAGAGAGCTGCCAGTTTAAAGTCTCCTCTCTCCCCTGCTCCTCATTAAAGACTAGTTGTACCTCTCAACAAGTTTATCTCATCTTATTTCACCCAGCTAACATTTTTCTTTTTATTCATGCATATTTTACTAATCACTCCCCCCATGAATGAAAATATGTTTTTTTTTTCTTTTTCTTTCTCTCGCTCTCGCTCTCGCTCTCGCTCTCGCTCTCGCTCTCGCTCTCTCTCTCTCTCAGATTGTGAGTGGACCGGTGAGTATAGCGGAGAGCGATCGTTTAAAGTTTTACAACTTTTCAAACCATTGTTACAAATTCATTTTTCTCTGGGTGATAGTTTATGTCTTTGTGCATCACTTCACCGACTTTGGTGTTTTTTGGTGGTGTTGTTTGGTTGCACTGGTGAATTGTTTATCTAGCGGCTGCAGCTGCAGTCACGCCGCCCGGCATGGCGTTCCGTGGCAGCTGCGCTGTGTTAGAGAAGCTGACTCGCCAACACGCCATCAAGCTCTCTCCACCTGTCGATGTGTCGGTGGAGGAGTGTGGTCTGGCTGTGGGGGCTGTGGTGGGATATGGCAGAGTTAAATCTGCCTCCCGCATGAACAGTGCAGTGGTTATTTTTTTAGACTGCACGGAGAAAGCTAACCAGCTGGTGGAGAGCGGGCTAGTGATTAAAGGGACGCTGTTACCCGTGCTACCCCTGGTCACTCCAGCTAAAAAAGTAATCATCTCTAATGTACCCCCGTTTCTGAGAAACGAGTTGTTGGAGAGAGAGCTAGCTCGACACGGGCAGCTTGCGTCTCCCATTAAGTTGATCCCCCTGGGCTGCAAATCCCCGCACCTCAAGCACGTTGTGTCTTTTAGGAGACAGGTGCTTATGGTCCTGAAAAAGGATGAAGGGGAACTAAATCTGGCTCTCAAGTTTAAAATTGATGATTTTGTGTATACTGTCCATGTTACGTCTGACATTTTGAAATGTTATGGTTGTGGAGCGGCAGGACACCTGATTCGCGCGTGCCCGGAGAGGGCGGGTGACGCGCCCGTGGTGTCCGCGCTCGCAGCCGGCCCGACGGTGCCCGCGGCGGAGCCGCTACCGGTTGCCTTGTCCACGGCTGGGCCGCCGGTGCAGGGGTCCGCGCCCGCGGCGGAGCCGCTGCAGGTCCCTTTGTCCACGGCCGGGCCGCCGGTGCTGGGGTCCGCGCCAGCTGCGGGGCCGCTGCCGGGTGCTTTGTCCACGGCCGGGCCCGCGCCAGCTGCGGAGCCGCTGCCGGTTGCTTTGTCCACGGCCGGGCCGCCGGTGTTGGGGTCCGCGCCCGCGTCGGAGCCGCTGCCGGTTGCTTTGTCCACGGCCGGGCCTGCGCCTGCAGCGGAAACGCCGGTGGTGGAACCGCAGGTCAGTCGGTCCGTGGCAGAGCCAACGGTTCCACGCGTGGAAAGCACACAGGCAGCCGGTACACACAGTATCACACACACAGACACTCAGGTCACACAGAAAGCAGATAGTGAGCACACTGCAGCGAGAGTGGCTGAGTCTGTTCTGGAGGATGTGGTAATGGATGAGGATTTGTTAAGGTTACCTGTTAAAAGGAAAAACGAACAAGTGAGCAAAGGAAGTGTGGCTCAGAAAGGGAAGGTGTCAAAGAAGGAGTCGATGTGTTCCTCCTCTCAGCCAGAGGGAGTCTCAGAGGACTCAGAGGACAGTGACAGCGAGTCATTCTTTGACATCGTTGAGGTAGCAAAGGGAGAGGAGTATTCTTTCCAGAGGATCAGATCCTTTCTGGCGGAAACTAAGGGGTGGAGGGGGGTGAAGTTAGATGACTTTTTTGCAGATTTGCAGATCTTCCACAATACTGCCAGGGTTCTCATGCGGCGCAAAGAAGCCTTAGGGGAACCTTTCTTCAGCGGCCCAGAGAAGGCTCGGTTAAAGAAGATACTTCAGAGGATTAGAGGGGAAACTGCAAAGAATGATGAATAAGTACATCTTGGTTTTATTTTTTATTTTTTATTTTTCTTCAGCCAGGTTTTTGATTTTGTTAGGATGCAACTATAATTTCATTATGAGTGACATAAAGCTGGGCTCTTTAAACATTAACGGTGCTCGAGGGGATGCTAAGAGAGCATCTTTATTTACTTTATTAGGGAAACAAGAGTTTAAATGTAACGTTTCTCCAGGAAACTCACAGCACTGCTGAGAACGAGAGTGACTGGAGGAGGGAATGGGGGGGGGAGGGCTTCTTCAGCCATAAGCGCAGCAATAGTGGAGGGGTTGCCATTCTCTTTGCGAGGGGCTTTACACCCTTCTCCTGTACGGTCGATGAGGTCATCAGGACACTTGCTCAAAATAAATGCTGAATTTGAAAAAGTTAAAATATGTTTTATAAATATTTATGCTCCCAGTGTGGGCGCGGAGAGGCTTTTGTTTTTTGATAAACTAAAACACACTCTTAGCACCTGTGATAGTGGGGAGTATCTGTTCCTGGGGGGTGACTTCAACTGCACAGAGAACCCTGTGCTGGATAGGAACCACCAGGAACCACATGCGGCCTCGAAGAGTGCCTTAATGAGACTAACAGAAAGCTTTGAGCTGTGTGATGTTTGGAGGCACTTCCACCCGGGCCAGCGGCAGCACACGTGGGTGCACTCTAGGGATAACCTGTTGTCTCTGGCTAGGCTGGATCGTGTCTATGTTTTTAATCATCACATTAATGTAAGCAGAAGCTGCTCCATCAGTCCAGTGGGAATCTCTGACCATTCCCTCGTACAAGTCTCAGTTTTTATTAATCATGTTAAGTGTAATAGTGCGTATTGGCACTTTAATGCTTCTCTGTTGGCCGACAACCATTTTAAAAATGTTTTTAAATTATTTTGGGAAAACTACCGTTTATCTAAGAGAGAGTACAATTCTCTTCAGCAGTGGTGGGATGTAGGTAAAGTGAAGATCAAGCAGCTTTGCCAACAGTACACTTTCAATGTCACAAAGGACATGGCTAGATCTCTGAGAGCTCTGGAGAGAGAAGTGGTGGAGCTGCAGGGATTGGCAGACTCCACAGGAGAGCGAGAACATGTTGAAGTTTTCAAAAGTAAAAGCTCAGCTCTGTCTGACCTGCTGGGGTTTTCTGCTCAGGGTGCTCTGGTCAGATCCCGGTTTCAGAACATCGTGAAAATGGATGCTCCCTCTCACTTGTTCTTTGGTCTCGAGCGTAAGAATGGTCAGAGGAGGCTGATGCACTCCCTGCGATCCAATGCTGGGCAGCTGCTTCAGGAGTCCGCCGACATTCGTCAGTGTGCTGTGGAGTTCTACAAAGAGCTCTACAGAACAGAGTTCCAGGCCGAGCCAGAGGTGGCGCAGTCGTTCTATGAGGGCCTTCCTAACGTCCCTGAGGAGGACCATGCTGAGCTGGAGGCGGAGCTCTCTGCCCAGGAGTTGCAGGAGGCCCTGCAGAGCATGCAGAGTGGGAAGGCTCCTGGCATAGACGGCCTGCCTGCAGACTTCTATAAGGCTCTCTGGCCAGTTATAGGTGACGACCTGCTGAGTGTGCTCAGAGACAGTCTAAGTAACGGGAGGTTGCCTCTGAGTTGCAGGAGAGCTGTGCTCACTCTCCTCCCTAAGAAAGGAGACCTGCAGGAGATTAAGAACTGGCGTCCTGTGTCTCTACTCTGTACCGACTACAAGCTGCTTTCCAAAGTGTTAGCGACGAGGCTGAGGAAAGTGATGGAGCATGTCATTCACGTAGACCAGACATACTGTGTACCCAGCAGGTTGATAACTGACAACGTGACTTTAATTCGAGATGTTTTGGACCTCTCCGGTTCATTGGGCTGTGAGCTTGGTCTGATTTCTCTAGACCAAGAAAAGGCTTTTGACCGAGTTGAACACCAGTACTTGTGGCAGACGCTGGAAGCTTTTGGGTTCAGCTCTGGTCTCATAGCCAAGATCCAGGTCTTGTACAGGGACCTTGAGAGTGTACTGAAGATAAACGGTAGTTTGTGTGC